GCGTGTTTGTGCTGCAGGGCAGGGAGAAAAGATTGAGAGGAGCTTATGGTCTGCCCTTGCTTGATGCTTCTTTCAGTCTTTATTGCTGCTTTTGGTTCTTCTTTACACTTCTTCCTTTAATTTACTTTGAAGAAATGTATTACTTTGGTTTTCCTTCATGTGCTTTTACCTTACTTTCCTTAGCTACACTGCTCCTACGTGCTATTTTTTCCAGTGCTAACCTTGAGGAAAGGAAACTCTCTATTCATTAAGAACCAAACAGTGGTGGAAGGAAATGTGTGCAAGAATACACGAAATAGTGCTTAATCCTGTTCCCTAAAGATGCTGGAGAAGATCAGACAGGTTGGTGAGAGACATCTGAGAAGTGCAGAACAGTGCATTGGCAGCTGTGCTGTGAGGAAAAAAGCGTCTTTCAGGAAATGGTGAATAACCTCTAAGCACAGTGATGTAACTGGGAAAGGGAGAGAGTGGGTAACAGAACAAGCAGAAAACAATAGAAATGGTTGCTGCCAAGGCTGGGGTTTCCTGCATCTTTGAGGATTTTCTGTAAAATCGTGGTTTTGAGCTGCTTGAGATATCTGCACTGAACTTTGAAGCTAATAGCTAAGAAGTCTATGTCTGGCTGGGAGCTGTGTTTCAGGGGCACAATGTATAGCTCCAGAGGGGTGTGCAGGGTTCCCTCAGTGGGTGCCCTCTTCCATCTTTCAAGCAGCTATAATTTCCTAGCAGTTCTTGAGGGGTCCCAGCCTATGGACAGAGTGAAGCTGACTATTGTAATATAGATCTACTAGTACCTGATATGATGCTGATAGCCAGGTAAAGTTTACTAGAATTTACTAAGTCAGGCTACTTGCCCCTGACTTATTCTTGTAATAAACAATGAAAGTACCAGTCCCATTTGAATCTGTTTGCTCCAATATCATTAGCATGCTTCTGTGGTTCTAGGTCACAGAGATCTGATGGTAGCCTGAGGTTCACAGGACATTTAATGCTATAATGTCATGACAAAGAAATTCCATTAACTGTTCCCTTCATATATTTGTATTTCAAGATTGGGCCTTCTCCATCAATCCTGAAGCACATACATTTATTATTAAACGTATATGTACGTGCCTTTAAAACTGTGCTGCTTCTTTGTGTTCTTTTTAACAAGTGAAATACCTTGAAAATATTTTCATTTTGCATACTGAATTATCAAACTAGACACATTTAAATGCCCTCTTTTAGACTAACAATGGGATTTAATGTCCTGATTACTTCATTCAAATCGCATCCTTCTTGCAGATAGTACCAAGTAATGTGAACTGTATCTACTGACTTCCATGTAAAGATGAGTTAGTATTAAACAGTTCTGCAAACTAGAGAGCTCTGATTAATTTTAAATTGTTCCTAGCTTGATTTCATTTGCACTTGTGAGTGATTCTGCTCTGCAAGTGTCCTTGCTGGACTTGGTTAGTACTTCTGTTATGTTGTAATCTGTATTAATTATCTACTAATTAGTGAAAATCTGCTTTGAAGCATGACCTAAACCACTAATTAACTTTTTCAGGTTTTGTTTTATTTTTTCTTAATGGAATTTTATCTGCTGCTAGACTATGTAGAAGTAGAAAAGTTATTTTTATAGCAGAGGCAGTTAATAGGCCTAGATCATTTAGGCTTTCCTATCTAACCTGACTAGATCTGTGTGTCTTTAAGCTGTGTTTCAAAGCTTGAATTGTAGAGTGAGCCCTCAAAAAAGGAGTGGTGTTTGTTTGATATCTGAGATGGAGCACTCGTCATTATGGTAATAGACTTGAGATTAACTCAGTTTTCAAGAATGTTGTATGAAACTTAAAAAAAAAAAAATAAAAAGGAAAGAAACAAAATAAACATGAAAAGAAAGACTCCTTTTAAGTTTGAGACACCTGCTTTGCTTAGGTAAGTTATGCAACCTGTAAAGTCAGAGAGAAGGTAACTTAATCACTTAAAATGCTTTAGAAGTAAAGCTTAATTGCAGTGTTTTGTCCCGTTCTAAGCTTTGAGAGGAGGTCATGAATGAGATTTAGAATTACTCCTTTTTCTGTTAAGCCTGATGTTGCTCTGGGCTTAATAGTGCTGGTTAGACAATCTAAAATAAAAGTCACTTAGCTTTTTCCTAGTCAAAGATGGCAAAATACTTATTTTTAAGTTTTCCTGAAATAAGTATGAGGAAAAAAAGATCTACAGCATGTGAAAAAGTATGATTCACTGTTTATCAAGTTATGTTTTATTAATAGTAACAATTCTGTAAACAGATGCTTTAGTGATTACTTAAAATGAAACAAAATAGTCCTTGTATGGAGTAGGGGAAAAAGGATTTAAGGTCACGAATACTGTAATTGAGGGGGTTTACGTCTTAAAAAAAATAATTAAGTGTGCCTGCCACACAAGTCACAGTAGTTGGATGTGTGTGTGTTGCTTGCTTTCTGGAAGCATTAAAGTCTCTGCTAAAAGTCATCTCCCACTAGAAGCATTTTTTTAGCCTCTAGTGTCTGGACTGAAAAGTACAGGGATGTTGTTATTCTAGAGTACCCTGCAGGTCTTACAAGCCTCATATTAATTTGAACTGCAGTGTCCTTCAGGAGGAATATGAGAAGTGTATTTTATGTGAGAATAAGCTGCTGTATTTGATTGCCAGGCCACAGATTTCCTGAGCTCGGGCTGGGGTGGGTGTTAGCATTCAGTGGAACACGTGTGAGATTGTCACAGAGCTGGAGTTTCTTTCCTGAATAAAGGAAGTCTCTGACAATAGAAGATGATCAGTCTTATTCTCCCTATAAGTTATATTCTGTCTGTAGAATGTCCTGATCTTGTGAGGTGTTTTTTGGGGTGGTTGCCTGTTTGAGTAATGCTCTAAGTATGAGAAAGGTGAGCATGAGCTAAATTCCTGTTAGAGAGCAGTAACTCACATGGCTTCTCTTTGTGAGGGTCTGTGTTCTGAGGAGATGAGGCCTCTCTGCTTCTGCACTCTGACACACGACTTGGGAAGGGGAGCAGTTTGGTTTTGTGGTTTGTTGTTTCTATTTTGTTTTTTAAACTTAAGAATGGTGGTTTGACCCCAGTTCTGTGTGTGTGATAAGTGTGTGGATTTTAAATTTTGGGTAACTTGTTGTTGTTAAGCCTGATTGTTTTAAAACTACTGTGAGTGGTTCCACTGTATTTTCAGCCATAAATCCAAATGCACCTTTAATATGGCAGTGTAGCTGAATATTTTAAAAATGGATAAACTGGTTTATTTCAAATAAACCCCAATATTAAGAAATACAAAAAGGAATGTTCTCCGTTTCTGGTTTAAGGCACTCACTTTTGTTATACAAGTAAATAAAATGGTGCCATGCTCGCAGCTCCTCAATGAAGCATTAAATTAGAAAATAACTGATGGTATTGTGAGACAAGGATATTGCTTTTATTCTCAAGAAAAGGTAGAAGTGAGTAATTTAGCAAATGCTAGTATCACAAGCACCATATTACTAAATTCACCACAGGATGTAATGAAATTTTTGTCAAATGCAACTGCAGAAGTAATGCCTTTTGTTTCCTGTTGACATTTTGATGTCTTCTATCAGTATTAACCATTATGTCTCCTAATGGTATTAACATTTATTCTATCAGGTCAGTCCTGCTCACTTGTTCATTTGATCACATTTTTGATTTAGAATTTTTATGTATCTTTAAATAAACTTGAGGAAGATGTTATTCTAGAAGTAGTTGAGTTTTTTCCAGGCTGTTGTTGCCATACCAAGGAAATTAATTAAGAGCATGAATGCCACATTATTCAAAAACTAATTTATGACTCCTCAAAACAGGCAGGGAGGGAAGGCTTTGACTGATGAAGGAATTAACTTTGTAAATATCTGTTGGTAATATAAGTTAGGAGCTTTGATATAATACAGCTTTTAATTGATTTGAATTGGTCATAGGCTTTGCTGTGCTAGATATAACTCAACTCGTACTCTATAGTTTCATGCATTCCTCTCACACCCCTCCTATTTTAAGGTTAGTTTTTTCTTTCCTGAAATATTTGGCAGATTGAAGCTGTAGGGTTTACTATCAGGGAGTTTTCCAAGTTCAACAGACACATACTTTCTCTTCCTGCCAGTTTGAATTGTTGTTTTCCAACTGTGTTCAGGTATCTACAATTAGCTTTCATTTGCTGTCTCTCACCTGCCTGTTCTAGGCTTTGTGGAGTAAATGGTACAAGTTTTACACTTGTAACTTGGGAACACTTTAGTCTACCTTATGCAATAATACACACATACTTCTGATTCTTCATTGTTAGTTCTTGCTTCGAAATATCATACCTGTCATTTGTGCTCTTTAAATATAGGACTTATCGTGGTATGACTGATGTTGTAAGCAGTTGGTGAAATTATTTGTATTTTACTCTCTGAATATAAATGCCTTCAGGAAAGTAGTTGTGAGGCAGTTTTCTGACCTGCAGTTGTCCTGGTGTGGGAGGAATATGTGCAAATCTTGGTAGTCAGCTTCGCCATGGACATGTGAGGATATGCTTCACAGCACTTTCAGACTTTCACAGTCAGGTAACCTTGAAATGTATTGGTTCTCCATATAATAAGCTAACAAAGTATTTAGTTGTTTATTACCTACTAATTTAGGTTTGAATGAAATTTTTGGGAAGAGTCTTTTGATCCTGCCGTACAACTCATTTAAATATTATTGCTATGTTTTTATTTGGTAGGGAATCTGAAAATGAGACTGCTTAGATAATTTTAATCATATAAAACTGAAAATGCAAGTGTGAAAAGATAATTGGATGAAATAATTTGCTCATTTTAAGATGATTTATTTTACCTGTCAGTGTCTCCTTTTAAATGCTCCAGCTGGCGGAAATATATTATTACATCTCATTCTCATTTTCAGTCTTTGAAATATAAACACTACTTCTGAAGAAGAGCAAATCAAAACAACTATGATGAGATTTGTTCTTTGTAATGACTGCATTTTTTTTGTTTAATTTGAAGGTCATTCTGTGAGACTGCTGGGTCAGAAAAAGGATAATGGAAAACGTTTGGGGGGAGCCCGACTGGATTTGCCAAAGATTAGGAAGAATCCACTGATAGAAATAATTTCCATCAATACAGGGTAAGAATCTTCCAAACTTACAAAACATTGGGTACTGCAGAGAAATTCCTCTTATCTCTTTCTGCAGATCTAGTGTACTACTCCTAAGCTACCCAGAAGGAGGCAGGATTACCACTTTTAAATAGTTTAAGATGTTAAATTACATTCATTTTGGAAAATAAATCTTTGCTTATTTGGTTACAAGAAGAAAAGAGCACTTACAGGGGTGTTTTTTCACTCTGTTTTTTTGATTTCTAAGATGGTGGTTCCAGAATATTGTTAGTGACTTATTATGGTCTGTAAACATCGTTAAGATCTGTCTGATGTGATTGTCAGCCCAGATGTACTAATGGCTAAATTAGATACAGTTACTTCTGTCTTGCTCCTCTAACCTGTTCGTAAAGAGTCATCACTCATATATTTCATTTTTATATTCTTTTGAACAAGCTACTCTCTCCTGTCAATCACCTCTGGATGCCCATTTCCCCATAAGATTACAAGTATTTTTCTGTTCTGTACTCCTACTTTGAGGAATTCTATTTTAATCTTCCTTCCCTTGCTGCTTTCCTTCTAACAAGGCCAGTTGTTATCCTTCCATTTTGTCAATTTATTAAAAAAAAGAAAGAAGCAACAACAAAAATCACACAAGTCCTCTTCTGATTTTCTCATCTTCTCCAACTTAAGTAGTGATTTCCCTGGTGGTTAAATTTAAAATGTGTTGCTCTGGGCATCCCAGGTAGGTGTGAACTTACTGCCTAGAATGAAAAAAAAAAAAAGTGGCGTATCTGAGTTTAGATTAGCATGTTCATAAACATTTCATAGAGGAGTTTTGATAATATAGTCTTTCTTACTTCATTGTCTTTTAGTAATGTGTCCTTCATAATTGCTATGAAATCTAGTGTGCTGTTTAGGTCAGAATATCAGTTCAAGGCTTAGTGTGGTTACTTTTTCTTCCTCTGACTTCTGGTAAATCTAGGGGTGACATTTTGTCATACTGCTGAATTATAATACCTTTTTAAACTGCATTTTTGTTCATGGTTTGGTTTTGAAGTCTGGTTATAAGCTCTTCAGTGCAGTTACTTCAAGTGTTCTAAATTCTTTACCTTATTTTCTTTCCAGTGAACATCTTGTTTGTGCCCATCAAAATCCTTTTCATGATTAAAACCATTTTTTTTCATTTGGCTGTGTCTGACTTTCAGATGGTAAAAAATTTCCTTTCCATTAATATTTATCACAGTATAATGTTACAATATCGTTCTTGTTGTAAATGTTGTCAAGGTTGTAAGCTAATTGAGATATGGTCTTGTTCATATCTTTTAATGTATAGTAATTAATTTAAGATAGGAAAATTAGAAATACTATTATTTCAAATATCAGGTTATTGCTAGTTTAATTACAGAGGTTAATACAAGGGTACTGTAGGGTATATACACTTAGCATTAGGTGACTCATGAGGGTAGCAACAATTTGAAACTTTTAAAAAATATATTTTTAACAGATTATATTCTTTTACTGGGTTTTGAAAAAACAATTACTTCTCAAATTGATCACGCTGCAGACTGTTAACATCTCCTAAGAAGTTAGTCTCAGAAACCCTTTCCTTTATTACCTGATACAAACAAAAATGATGTGTAGTAGTTCTTGCTACTACAAGTAGTTCTCAGGTCAATTTAAATATCTATTTTCTACCATAAGATAATATAATAAAATACTGGAAACCACAAAAACATATCTGTTTCATGGAGAAAAAAAGTCAAATATGTCTTGATAAGGCCAAAGCATTCTTAAAGCCTCAAACAAACAAGTCAGTTGTATAAGACAGCTTAATTAATTACTGTTTCAATCTGTGTTGTATAGCCTGCTTTTCTCTCCTGAAACACAGATTCTTAGGTTTTCCTGTCTTTGTCTTCCCTCTTCCTCTTCTCAGCCTCTCCAGCTGTGTATTGTAGGTGACTTTTTGGCGTATTAGTTTGGGTTTGAAATACACAGCGTAGCTTTAAAAGGCAGCAGTTGGTCAGCAGTTTCTGAAAATTTAAAGATGTAATGAACGAAGAACAAGACATAGAATATATTAGTCACTGTGATTTGACTAATTTTATCAGCTTTACCTTAGTAGTCTTGTTATGTCAAGTTTTACTACCAACACCATATTGGACCTGAGTTTTCTCTGTGTAGAGACTGGAGAAATCTTTGAAGACTATTTTATGGTACAGTGATCTTTATTAAGAGGTGAATTTGGATCAGACTAAGTTGTCTTAAAATAGTAAACAACACTTTGTTAAAAATAGTGATTTCCTTTTTTGAAATATTTTTGTCTGATACTGGTAGATGATAAGCACTTGGGAGCAGCATGAGCAGGGTGCCATGGGGCCTGAGTATGGGTCAAAGCTGGGGGCTGGTAGTAGGACCCCTGAGCAGTCCCAGACAAGGAAAATTCCATAATCACAGAATATGCTGCATTGGAAGGGACCCACAAGGATCATAGAGTCCAACTCTTAGCCCTGCACGGGACAGCCCTAAGAGTCACCCCACATGCTTGGGTGGTGAAATGGTCACTCACAGCCTGGGTCTTTCCAGGGGCTCCAGTGTGGATCAAAAGGATATGAGGTGGAGACAGGCCTAGGGAGAGGAGTACGAATAATGCAGGTCTGAGGAGAAGAGTGCAGGGCTGGAGGCAGGCAGGTTAAGCTCAAGGCAGGTCTAGGAAGAAAAGCCAGAGCTTCACTGGGGCTCCTGGTGCAGCAGAGTGGGCTGTGGAGGCAGCAGCTGAGGCTGGGCAGGTCAGCGAGGGCCTGGGAGTCGTCACGGGGCTGTGACAGGTGGTGCTGAATTACCACTTCCAGCTGGGGTTTTAATGAAACCTTGGACTCTTCTGTAATTCTGTAGGGGAAGAAAAGGCTTATTGGAGCATGTATATTCCCTCCTCCCCAATGCACTGGAGTCTTCCATGGCTCATGTTAACCCCTTTCCCTCTCCAGCAGGATGAATTCCTTTATGTACATGGACATTTGCCAGCTGGAACTATTCTTCTGGGGGTTCAGAAGGACCACTTGATTTTTGGGAGTCTCCAGAAATGCCGATTGTTAAGATATCTCTCATACCCATACATCTGTGTCTTTGTTTCTTAACTCAAGATGGTGTTGAATTTGGTAGTTTTGACTTGAAACTTCTTTTATTGATTCCTTCTTCTCTTAGAAATGGAGGAAGAAAAATTCCTGACCCAAAGACTTCTGTTCTTGTATAGTACCTGTGAACTTTTTTTGTACTTGTCCAAGCTCAAATGCATGCCTACATATAAAAATAAACCAAAACACCATCCCCCCCTGGTTATGGAGTATCTGTGAAGATCAGGTGCTACTTCTGTCAGTCGTGAGCCAGCTCAGAGGTTTTACACAGCACCATGTTTGTCCATAAAAATGTGTTACTCTGCCTTTAGAGGGACCTGTGTCTTGTTCAGTGTTTGGCACTCTTTTTTATTTAGTTTTTTTTTTTTTTCTTTTAAAGCAATGGACATTTTTTTCCTACTAATTTTGATTGTCCTGAGGGTTGTTGTTATTGAGAAATCCAACCTATTTGTTTAATTTACTATGACAGTTGGTGGTTTCTGTCAACAGACTGTGACTCTAGAGAAAAGTTCCTGTCCCAGGAGTGACATGTTTCAGAGTTTCCAAGGATGTTTGCAGAGTTACCGGAATGGAGGCACAAGAGATTTACCACACTGACACGCAAAGATATGTTAGTGACTCTTCATTTTTCCATATGCAGATGCATAAGAAGTCTTTACCATCCCAGTATCCCAGACAAGCTGTAGATTGGCCTCTGTAATTTCCCCGTAAGAAATAAGTGACCTTTTCTTCCTGCATTGTTTGGTTTCTCTGCTATTGCTTAGAAAACACCTTGCAATATTTTTCAAATCATTTATTATGATTATTATTTTATTTTTTTTCCTATGGAACAGGCAGTTAAAAACCAGGGATTGTCACAATGCCTAGACAGCTGTCTTAATTCTGCAGTGGTAGACCTGAACCTAGAAGCAGTGATTTGTTCCTGTACTCCAAAATAATTTTCTGCTTTGAACTAAGGACATTTGGTTAAATCTCTTCCACTTTTATTTATGTCATAAGCATTGTACAGGTCATCATCTTACTGGAATAAGGCAGGTAATAGTAGTAGAAAAGCATGTTAAATGCTGTTTGGAAAAAAGACATATATTTTTAAACTAATCTCCTAATGTGATTATTCTGTTAGTTTGAAGTAAGAAAGAGAAAATGTTCTCAAATTAATCTTGTATTACAACATCATTTAAGTCTAGGTAAAAGCATTTTTCTCCTTGTGGTCTCATCTTCATTAATGCCATTTCATAACCCATATAGCCACCTAGACAGGTCTCTTTAATGGGATCAAGACTTGTTTTTCCACATGTTAATTAATTCTCCATCTGCTCTGTAGCTTGGACTATTACTCATGTATCTTTGTTGTTGGTTTGACTTGAACTCCCTTATTTCCACTCCCATACATTCAAATATTACTTTATTTGTGCTTTTTCTGGGCACCTGAGAAGCATGAGAAGAGTGTAATACCACCTGAATGAGCCCACACTAGAATTTCCTGGTGGATAGGTTTGCACATAGGTCTGCTGCAGTACTTTCTGTGTTCTTTTTGAAGTTTCCACTTCTCTTGATGGAGCAGGCAAGTTACTACACTGCTCACATGACTGGCTAGAGAAGAACTAAAACACACTGAATTGGGGAATTCAAAACCAAAAGGAGCATTACAATGTACATGCATGTATTAGACTAGATTATTCTTGCAGTGCTGGAGCATCTTACAGAAGACCAGCATGTTTATCTCATTTATCTCAGAAAGATTTTCAGATCTGCTTTTGTGTATTAAATGCTAATTAAAGCATAACACTTCAAGCTTAGTACTCTGTGCTGATGAACTGCGACCTTTTTCCTCATGGGACAGCCCCTGCTAACAAAGTTTATGTTGAGAGTGAGTATACATAGTAGTGCTTAGAA